AGCCCGGGGCGGGACCTGGGAGGCTCCGGCCGGCCGCCGCGGGTGGCGGCGGGTGGACAGTTTCCTTCCCCGTCCGCCTCGCCGCCGCCGCCGCTTACCTTTCCCTTCCTCCGTGCTCGCTCGCACGACAGGTTGTTCTCGGCCGTTCTTTTATTCTCGCTGTCCTCGCTGGCCTCTTGCTGCCGCTTCCCCCGTTCCCGGGGGTAGGAGACCGGGATCTGATCGGAATCTGTTTTCTTAAACAAAACGAAAACGGGCTCCGGAACGCGCACGTCCAGTGGCCGCTTTCTGGGCCGCCGGCAGGGCTGGCCCTCGGGGCCCGCGCCGCTGACGTTCCGGGCGCGCGAGGAGGACGGAGCGGAGTCTGCCCGGGCAGCCTTCGCGCAGGGCGGCCCGGCCCCCTCCTCCAGTCGGGCGTTTTTATTGTGGCACTAAGGGATCGAGAAGAGATTTCATAACGTTAAGGGCGATCCTGATGGCAGGTTCTAGTGTTCTCGAGTGCTGGCGTCCTGGGCTGCCTTTATAGGAGCCCTGTTTGTTGCAGAATAGCATTTGAGTTCTTGGTACTTCATTAAATGAGAGCTCAGAGGGGAACACTTCATTGTAAAAGTGTATAACCTCTCCCTATGCTTACGTTTGTGAACATTTACTTCACCTGTATGGTTTAAATTTTAATCCGGTGACTAGAGAATCGTAACGTGTCTCTCGTAACCAGATTCGCCTTTCCGAGTCTCTGTCGGGAGGCGAATTATGCACTTTATCTAGTGCTAGAGTCACTGAAGAATGTCAGCTTTGCTGAGACAGGGTTGGAGATCTGTGTTTTAGACTCTTAAAAAGGCAGAATGTATGAACTGAAAAGTATTGAATTATATCTAGACGGATTTAGGAATAAAGTTTATACAGGACGAGACAGTTTATAGACTGTATTCGTATGAATATAATTGAGGGATTTCCTTCCTGGTAAACAGATGAAGCAGAAAATTAAAATATCTTGGGTATTAGAAACTTGAAAAGTCAATGTTATTTTTAAACAACTAATTATACCTCTTTTCAGACGTAGGTACTCACAAAATTAGTTTGAGTGTGGCTGGAAAGTTTCAGATTTTGGGATTTTTCTGTCCTGAGTATCCTAAGTGGTTGTGGTAGGCCGTATTAATGTTGATTTTATGTGCTCAAAAGTTTGTCTATCTTTGTGTGTGTGTGAAGTATCTTTATTGAGAAATCATTCATGTGCCGTCCAATTTGATTTAAAGGATACAGCTCAGAGGGTTTTTGTAGTATACCCAGAGCAGAGCAGCCATCACTCTAATCAGTTTTGGACTGTGTTTATCACTGCTGAAGAACTCTGTGCCCATTAGCATTCACTGCCATTTTTGCCCAACACTGTTTTAGACAACTACTTGTTTTTTGTCTCTGTAGATTTGCCTTCATCTACATGGAACTGTACAATATATGGTCTTTTGTGACTGGCTTCTTTTAAAGTATATTTTCAAAATTCATGTTGTAACATGTATCAGTACTTCTTTTTTTTTTGTTTGTTTGTTTCTTTGAGACACTTACTATGTAGTTCAGGCTGGCCTTGAGCTCACTTTGTAGCCCAGGCTGGTCTTACTATGCAGTTCAGGCTGGCCTTGAGCTCACTTTGTAGCCCGGGCTGGTCTCGAAGTTGCAGTGATCTTCCTGCCTCAGCCTCCCAAGTGCTGGGGTTACAGGCATATGCCAGGACTCCCGGCTTCATTTCTTTTTATTGCTGAATAATATTCCATTTTATGGATATATGTCATTGTATTTACTGGTTGATAGACATTTGAGTTTTCACTCTTTGGCCTTTATGAATAATTCTGTGACTAATTGGGTATAGGTTTTTGCGTGGACATGCTTTCATTTCTCCCAGGAGTGTACACTTAAAAAGAAATGAATTGTTTTGACTTACTTAGTTTGAAACAATTTGCTTATTATGTGTGAGATTCAGTAGTTTTTTTTTTTTTTTTTTTGGTTTTTCTCCAGGAACCGAACTCACGACCTTGCACTTGCCAGGCAGGCGCTTTGCCGCTGAGCTAAATCCCCAGCCCCATATTCAGTAGTTTTTATACAGAAGAGTGAAATTCTTATGAAAGCTTGATGTAGAACACTCTACCGGCTTTCACAAATTCACTCTAACCTGTTTGCAGTTAATCCTCATTCCCCTACTCCCTGCCCTAGGCAGTCATGGATTTGTTTTGTCCCCCTCTAGGTTTACTTTTTCTGGAATCACATAAATGGAGTCATATAGTAAATTTTTTTTTTTTCTTTTTTGCATCTGGCTTTTTTCACTTAGTATACAGTTTTTGAGATTCAGCTACATTGTAGCTTTTATCAGAATTTTGTTCCTTTTTATTGCTGAATAATAACCCTTTCTATGGATGATACTATGTTTCATTTATGTGTTGGTCAGTTGATAGATACTCAGATCCCCTTACCCCACTGCAGAGGGGAAAAGCTCAGGGCCTGTGGACGCTGGGCAGGTCTACCACCAGCTGCATGCCAGTCTCCCTGCCCCCTTGTATTTTGTGTCTGTCTCACTCTGGAGTCCCGCCTGGCCTCAAGCTCAAGGAGGGGTAGCTGGAATCAAGGCATGTGCCTGTGACTGCCATATTTCCAGTTTTTTTGTATTTTGAATAATACTCCTTGAACGTTTGAGTAAAAATCTTTACATGGACATACGGTTTTATATATAGGGATAGTGCTACTGGGTAAAAGTAACTTTAAAAACTGCTGAAGTGTTTCTCAAAGTGGTGTACCGTTTTATATTCTTTATGTAATGTTTGCGGGTTCCTTTAAGTTTCTTCATGTCCTTGTCAACACTTATTATTGTCTTTTTTATTATCACCATTCTAGTGGCTATGAAGTGATTACCTTCTTGTAGTTTTTTTGTTTGTTTGTTTTGTTTTTTCCCGGTACCAGGTCACACGACCTTGAGCTTGCCAGGCAGGTGCTGTGCCACTGAGCTAAACCCCCAGCCCCAAGTTCTTGTAGTTTTAATTTGAGTTTTCTTTATGTCTCATAGTTTAAGAATCTTCTCACATGATAATTAGTTCTTCATATGTCCTTTTGGGTGGCATAGCTTTTCAGATCTTTGGCCTTTTTTGGGAGGCACTCACCATTTAATTTAGCAGGCTTGAAAGGCCCTGCGTAGCCCAAACTGGCCTTGAACTTGCACCAATTCTTCTGCCTCAGCATCCCAAGTACTGGGATTACAGATATGTGCCACCATGCTTGGCTATAAACCCCCCTCCCTTTGCCCATTTTAAAATTGGGTTTGATTTAGTATTGATTTGCAAGAGTTTGTAATATATATATTCTGGATATGAGTCCTCATTAGATACACGATTCGCAAATATTATCTTCTGGTTTGTGGCTAGTCTTCTCATACTGATTGATTGATTGATCAATTGGAACCAGGATTTGAACTGAAGACCTCGGGCATGCCAAGCAGGCACTGTGCCATTGAACTATATCCCTGGCTCATTTTTTAAATTGGGTGTTGGGGTCTTTGAAGCATTCAGTTTTGCTAAAGTCTAGTTTCTAGATCATAATTTTTGTTGTCTTCTGTAAAAACTCTGCCTTGTCCAAAGTTTTGAGGATTTTCTCTTTTCCAGAAGTTTTAAAGTTTAGCTCTAAAGTTTAGATTTTATAATCTATTTTGAATTAATTTGTGTTCTTTACCAGTGGATTGTTCTAGTACCATTTGTTGAGAAGATACACGATCATTTTCCCATTGCAAATGTGAAGATTTATCTCTGCACTCTTAATTCTGTTGCATTACTTCTGTCTGTGCTTACCCCACTACTGATTACTGTGCTTTATGGTAAGTTATGAAAACAGGTAGTGCAAGCACTCTAATTTTATTGTTAGTTTTAAAAATTATTTTGAGTGTTCTGGGTCCTGTATAAGAATTTTAAGATTGGCCTGTGTGCTTGAATTTTCAGAGAGATTGCACTGATTCCAGATCAGTTTGAGAAGAGTTGCTGTCTTACTTTTAATACATGAACGTGAGAATTTCATTTATCGATCTTCAGTGTTCCTGAGCAAGTGATATTTTGTTTTTCAGTTAGCAGATTTTTAAAAAAATATGTTTTATTATAGTAAGAATATTTAATGTGCAATCACTCCTCTTAATTTTTTTCTTTTTCTGTTTTTTTTGGGGACAGGTTTTTCCTCTGTAGTTCAGGCTGGCCTTGAAGTCACTGTGTAGCCCACGGGGCTAGGGATTTAGCTCAGCGGCACAGCGCCTGCCTGGCAAGTGCAAGGTTGTGAGTTCGATTCCTGGTACCGGAAAAAACCATGGTGTAGCCCAGGGCAGCCTGAAACTCAGTGATCCTTCTGCCTCAGCCCCCTGAGTGCTGGGCTTATAGGTGTGCACCACCACATGTGGGCCCTCTTAATTTCAAGTGTAAGATACAGTATTGTTAACTGGAGACTAAATGTTGTATTGCACACCTCTGCAGTTTATTTACCCTGCCTCACTGAAACCTTATGCCCACTGATCAGTGTTTTTTCATTCTCCTGCAGCTGCCAGAGGCACCACTCTGCTCCCTGCTTTTGTGAGCCTGATCCTTTCAGATCTGTCATATGCTGGATGCATTGTCCAGTGGCCAGGCTTATTTTACTTATTTATTTATTTATTTATTTTTTTGGTGCCAGGAATTGAACTCAGCACCTTGCACTTGCCAAGCAGGCGCTTGTGTCACTGAACTATATCCCTGGCCATAGGGTTATTTTATTTAGCATCGTGTTCTCGAGATTCATCCATGTTGCATGTTGTAAAATTACCTTCTTACAGGCTCAATAATACTCCATTGTGTGTATATACCACATTTATATTTTAGTTTATTCCTATTTTGTTTGTTTGGTATTTTTGGTCATTTTTTTTTGTTGTTGTTGTTTTTCCCTGGTACTGAGAATTGAACTCACGACCTTGCGTTTGCCAGGCGGGCACCATGCTGCTGAGCTAAATCCCCAGCCCCTTTGTCATCTTTGTGAGACAGGGTTTCACTGTGCATTTCAGGCTGGCCTTGAACTCATTTTGTAGCACAGGCTGGCCTGGACCTCAAGGCTATTCTCCTACCTCAACCTAATATTTTATTCTATCTCTCTCTCTCTTTTTTTTTTTTTTCCAGTACCAGGAATCGAACTCACGACCTTGCGCTTGCCAGGCAGGTGCTGTGCCGCTGAGCTAAATCCCCAGCCTCCTTCATGTTTTTTTTTTTGATGTTATTAATGGAATGATCTTTTAAAAATTTGTGTCGTATTTTTGTTATTAGCATATAGAAACACAGATTGATTTTTACATATTGATCTTGTGTTCTTTGACTTCACTGAAATAATTCATTCTTACAGTTTTTTTGAATTTCTCAGTATTTTCTACATACAATACTATATCATCTGTGAACAAAGATAATTTTACTTCTTCCTTCCTAATCAAATGCATTCCTTTCTCTCCCTTCTTTCCTCCCTCCTTTCCTTCTGTGACCAGAGACACTACCTACAAGGTTGATGACAAATGGCGAGAGCAGGCATCCTTACATTATTTGTAGGAAAAAATTAAATCCTTTATCATTAAGTTTAATACTGAATGAAGTTGTTTTTACAGATATTGCAAATGTGGTAGAGAAAGTTCCTTTTTATATCGGTTTGTTGTGTTTTTTAAAATCATGAATTAGCACTGGATTGTGTCAAATGCTTTTTCTGCATCTGTTTGCATGACCAGCTGTGACAGTTTCCCCAGGACTGTCCTGGTTTTAGCACTGAAAGAAACTCCTCAGTCTTCGACAAAGCCATGTAATTAGTCATCCTCTTGTTTGAGGCGATCATGTGGTTTTGCTGTTTATCACATTAATGAGATATATTACTTGATTTTTAGGTGTTAAACCGGTCTTGTATTCCTGGAATAAATTCCATTTACTCATTGTATGTTGCTGTTGTTATGTGTTGCTGGATTTGGTTTGCTGTTTGGTTGAATATTTTTTTGTATCTATATTTATGAGGGATATATTGGCCTATACCCACTGTTTCTTTCCTCGTGTTGTCTTTGGATTTGGTGTCCGTAATACTAGCCTCAGAGAATAAATTGAATATTCCTGCCTCTATTTTCTAGAGGCATTTGTGATGGATTGGTATTAATTGTTTTAATGTATTTGGTAGAATTTATCAGTCAAAGCATCTGGTTTTTCTGGGTTTTTCTCTTTGGGAAATTTTTAAATTTCCAATTGAATTTGTGAACCTGTTACAGATGTATTCAAATTCTCTTATTTTGAGTTTATTTAGTAATTACATCTTCATAGAGATTTGTCCATTTCATGTAAGCCATTGACTTTTTTTTTGACATACAGTTCATAATCTTGTATATGTTTTATTTATTTGTTTGTTTATTTGTTTATTTTTAGGCAGGGTCTTTCTGTGAACTCCACACTGGCCTTGAACTTCCTATGTGTCCCAGATTTGCCTGGA